ATCCGGAATCGCCGATATCGATTCTGCGATATGTGCCTTATGTCCATTAGGGTTTGCACGCTGACATTATTCATCATTATGCAAAAATCGATCGCAGCCATTTGCTACCGCATCTAGTTACCATTGACCGATTCTCCTGATCGATCTATCTCCTCGTCTCTTCTGTCTCGGTGCCGGGCAGTCTCTATGTTATATTGTCTTGTACCTATGTTAGGCTGCAGCCAGAGACGGAGACATCTCACCCGAGTAGGTTTTTCTCTCGAAAAGGCGTTGTTTCGTGTTTCAAAGCAAATCGTTGTTGGCTAGCTATGTTGACCATCGGTCATTGCAACGTCGGAACCCGGCTGTTTTCAAGAAGGAACTACGACACGGCGAGTGCGGGATGGATAAAATGCATCTTCGTAACAGCAGTGCTAAATGGCGAGGCATGTGCGCTGCCACAAGCGCATCGGTTCCGTGAACAGCTGCATCGCGTCGTTGAAACTCTCCGGCTGTGGCGAGGCAACAGACAGCTGCCACCGTCGCGCGTCGTCGTTTACCGTTCAAACGTCGATTGGTCGAATATGAGCCTCGACGATGCGCACTGACTGAGGTCTGAGAACGCGGGCGCTTCACCGGTCCTCTGTTCCCGACATCATAGGTAGAGAGTGAACAGAGCGAGGTCGACCGAGGCCACATACGGCAATCGCAGCTGTTGACGTACGACTGATGGAGGAACGAATTGAGTGCGATATTCATCAGTATGATAAGTGAGAAGGATCACTACCCTCGTTCACGTGCGCGTGGCGCGCATTGCTTTGAAGAGCGCCGCCAAGAACTCGACACGTGCTCATTAACTCTCTTTCAGGAACTCCTTTGATGCTCGGTGTCTCGATGAAATCTGAAGGCCAAAGAAATCACAATGTTCCGGAGTCCGATGACTCTAGCCCCAGTCCTGGGGCCAGTCCTAGCATCAGCCCCACCGAATGCGATGCATCACGCCACCACGTGACCCACACGTCGCACCGCCTCTGTCGTCGCGGCATCCGAGACGTTTTGCACCTGAATGTGGAACAGTGCTCCTGTATCGACCCCAATTCCTTGCTGCTGTCTGCTATGAGTGGAACACGGGTATGTAATCGTTTTTAAGTCGACGATAGATCGCTGCCATCCGGACACATATCTGTAGATCGTGCCGTTCAGGGAGCGAGAAACGATCGATGTTTTCTCGCCATTTTCGAGAACTTCTTGACTCATCGACGATTTCCACTCGCTCCCACAGGGGTATCGAGCAGCGAATCTGGCTAGCAGCGAAGCTCGAACTTTCCTAAACTCTTACCTCACTTTACAGAAACATTGGCACGAGGGCAGTCGTTCTCCGAGAGAGACTCGCCGCGTCATGATCGTCGAGCACCCCGGTCAAGAGAAGCCACAACACCCGGGCAACAAACGCAAATCTTCGAAGCAGCCAGTAAGTTTTCGCTTTCGTAACAACCGCCCTTATTATTTTTTAAATTCCCCACCAACTACGTCCAGAAAGAAACCGTAATCACCGGTCGATGACCAGCCATTGCTTGGCAGCGTATTTCAGATCACTGTTCATTGCACGGTTCTCTTCTAACGTTCTAACGTACGAAAGTTTAATCGCTGATGCTGCGGATCTTAGGACGTAATTGTTTCGTTTGAGACCCCGCTGTAAATTCAACTAAGCGATGCTGTTTCTGAAATGTCCATGTTTAAGACGTTTTACCTCATCTGAGACTCAATCAATATTACAATAATTTATTTGCACAGAAGTTTATAGCAATGCTTCTTTGACGGTAAGATTGAGAAAATTGTGACTGGCAAATGACATTAGTCTACGTATGTCCTAACAGCTGCTCTTGGTAAGCAGGCTTAACGTCGCTCCGCCAACTTCGCGATCGCTGTTTACAATAAAACTGATAAACTTGCAACGGTTGTTTGCTTTAAAATGGTGTGTACACAAACATGTCTACAAAGTAGGGCCAGTATAGCATGGTAGCAATTACTTTTTCCAGTAAAATAACTGAAAACGATGTGGTTCTGAAGTTCATACCCATTAGATACCGAAGGATAAAAAAAACATATTTCCAATTCGGTTGTTCGAGGCACAAAACAAGTCCAGAAAATTCATTAAAACGCCTGCCGCTGGCAATCCCGACAACGTTCGTTGTCATCGGAACTAAGAGCGTGGTTGTATTTTCACGTAAACATCCAGTGTTGGAGTTTCACTCTATAGGACAGACTTTAGTACACAAAAACAAGAACCGAAGGAGGGCATAGTAATGTAATTACTTCCTGAAATTTGATTACATCAGATTATCAGAGCAGTTATCGATTCCAATACGTCCCTCGACGACAAGAGACTTACTTGAGAATTTCGCTTCTTAGAGCCACGGTTGTTCGAAGTAAACATTGCCCGGCAGTTTTACATTGTTCCGCAGTATTTCAGATATACTCTGACACCTGCACAAAATCTGTTAATGTGCTACCGTTTTTTAATATGCCATTTTACTAATATTTTATGTTCATGAATTTTTCGAGTATCTGAGTCTTTCTTACGCTTGTCTGGTGATGTGCCTGGTTTCTTACGGGCTTTTACGGACGGGAAACAATGAAACAGCACTGCAACTGGCGGATTTTGACCTACACAAGGAACCTGCGTCTGTCCACACACTCATCACTGTGTTTGAGTCACGAGACACGCGAAACGAACACAGCAACGTTGCGGGGACTATTTCTCTAAGTTATCTGCAGTGGCATGTTCGCAGCTCTGTAAACCAGGGTCCCCTGGTCTTATCAGTCTCCCAACTCGATCGACTGATAGAAAGCGACAACCTTCGTCTTGGAAAGTGGAGATGCCGTGGCTGAATGGAAAGCAACGCGTAACCAAGTGGAGAGGGTGTGTCACTATTCTCAGCGATAACCGCATTGTCAACTAAATTATGCGAGTTTTGGCTGAGCAGCTATCTCTGGCTGTGCATGTGCGCACGTAGCACAGTAGGACAGTGCACGTTATAGTATGAGCCAGTGTGTAGACAATTGACCATACTAAATTAAATACATGATCGATAATACTGAAGCTATGACGTAGCCAGATTTGAATGCCTTATTATCTCAGTTTTTGCTGGTTTGTCGATTTATTTCTGTTGGATTGCGTTGATTCATACAAAACTGAATTCTGTTCTTCCGTAATTTACTTTCCAAAAGAGATTTACGTTCTTCTCGGAATTTTAGCCTCTAACTTTCAATGCGGAGGTCCAGCGACTTGGCAAGCCTTTATATACAAGTTGTGAAGCAAGGCTGAGAGACAGGTGGAAATATAGTTGTGTGATGACATTCGTTTATTCACAGCTACAGTTGTCCGTATTCACCTGCTATTTGAACTCCTCCTTCCTTTACAGCTGCAAGAACAGGTTCTGGAGGTTTCCATAATGACTCTGATTCTCCGCCGATGGAGAAGGTTTTGTGGTTGGATACGAAGGTGCCACAATGCCAAGTATCCCATCGTCTCTAACCGTTAGGCCGTCCGTCTGTCGTGGGGCTTTGCGAAAACGGCATGTTCTACAGGAACCCGTTTGAAATCCGGATCACCTGTCTGAACTATGACAAATATCTCTCAGTTTGCATAAAGAACGCCACAAAATCCAATGCATCTTCGATAGTTGTACCACAGATCTCGTTCAGCGCCTCTCTCAGCAATTTTCGAGACAAACTCTCCTCTGTCGCTTGTGTCATTATCGATTATACTGAAATGACGCCGACATCCTTGATTCTCATGTCGATGTATTTTTATTCTCTGGCCCGGACAGAGTATCTCTTTTACAGTTGATAAATTTATTATATTCATGTTCTTAGTTTTATCCATCCAAAGCAGTTTGGCGATCATTGCTGATCTTTCTACAATTCATGCTTCATCGAATTACTTCTGCAGCACTTTCAAACGTTCCGGACAGTTTCTTGCCCTCTGTATGACCTCTCGAGTACATCGTTACAATGACGTCGCAGTTGACGATAACAGCTAATCATCCCTCTTGAACCTGAATGAAATGCTTAAATGGATTTTCATGGAAATTTGGCCCATCAGACGGTCAATCGCGCACGAAGGAAATGAGAGTGATCATTCGGTTATGCTTGAATCCAATCGGATCTGCCAGTCTGTCACAGCTTTTTCATTAATCCGCGATGTACGTCTTCTTGGCGGGTGCCGCTTTGCGTTCGACTGAGTTTCGGAATTCTTTGCCTAATCACCTCAGAAAGCCATGACTTGCAGAGCCTCGTCATAATCGCATATCGGCTTCTGTGCCTCTGTCGCTGGACGGGCGGTTGCCAAAACCTCTACGGTGGCAGTAAAGGCATCGATGTCCTACCGCCAGCAGCAGCCACGCGAAGCCTTTAATTTACGGTAGTTTTTCCGCTTCAACAACAGGAAAAACTTCTGTGGGTCCTTCAACTCC